TAAATATCCAAAAGAACTCAGATTAAGGGATTAGTGGAAGTGGCTTGGCCATCAGTGAGTGAGGGTGAGTGAGTAGGGCCAGTGGGGGGCTTGGAAGGGATTTTGGAGTTCTGTTTTCAGTTTTCCTACTTTTACATCAGTGTATTTTGGGCAAAAGAAAATGAGTGATATTTATTTTCAGGTACTGTTGGCCTGGGCAATTAAAAAAAGAGGGCAGATTCTAAGGATCTTTTTGAAAGATCATTTTGAAGGTGATTCTGTGGGTTAAGTAGGAGGAACTCTGTGTCCTCCATGTTAACTCATATTTCAACTGGGCAGTGGTATTTGGGCTTTTGTGTTTTCGTTTTTTAAATTAAAAAAATGTCCTTTTTTCTCCCCCTCAAAAGACCTTATCAATGACAGCTGAAGAACGGGGAAAAAGAGGGACCATGTTGAAGGTCAAGAGGCAAGATGTAAAACTTATGTTTTTAAAGAGGTCCCTGTAATTCTAGGCCCTCTCTATATTTTTGAGACAGATACTAAATGAATAAGGACTGAGAGGAATAAAGACAGTTTCAAAAATTCCCTGGGCCTCTATCTTATCTAGGAAGAGGTTTCCTAAAGCAAAATATTGTTCCAGATAGGACTTAGTTATTTAAATTGATACTTTATCTTGTACCATACGCACTCAAAGCTTCAGACAGTCTTCTCATCTCCTTTTTTTTTTTAAAAAAAAAATAGAAATCATACAAAAAAAGAGATATCTATGAATCAGTTTCTAATACCTAACAGGAAAGTCTTTTAGAATACTAAAATATTGATAAGCAAATATGTGTTATAGGATTAAACACTAGCATTGAAAACAAACAAACCAACAAAATTTTCTTCTTGTTTTTGCCTCCTCAGTTTCTGGACTTTCTGATCATTGCAGGAGAGGGGCACAAAGAATCACAATTCTTCTATTTTAAAAAATTAAAATTTTAAAATCAATGATGCCACAATGATGCATAAGTCAGATTTATCTTTTGAAAACATTGCTGGGAAAGCCCAGGTGATTTGAGTGGAAATGCTCTTTCCAAAGAAGAGCGCTAACAGGATCTGTCTCGAATATTAGTACAATCTTTTAAGGTTAAAAATAGCAAAAACATTTTAGATAGTCTGATTAGAGTTTTGACAAGTCAAATGTATATTCTATCTAGCCTATAGTTTTAAAGTCTATTTGGGTTTAACTTATCACCCCTATTCCAATATAAAAGAAGAAGAAAGAACCAAGTCATTTTTGAACATTAAGATATTTATAAAGACTATATAAAGTTAAAAAAAGTCTTCACAGATTGTTAGCCATTTCTTTCAATGATTTCTCCTAAATTCTTCTCTTTCCTTATTAATAGATAACCCCCAGCTCATAAAGAAATACTTTCCAACACTTCCCAGTGAGATTAGTGATTGCTTTTCATGGGAGCTATTGCTCTCTGAGATGTTTAGATGAAGGGAGAATATTTTCTATAAACCAGCCAATGCTAAAAATTTACTCAAGGGAAATGGGGCAGATGCTATTTTCAGAAGGTGAATTTATGCATTTTTTCTCTCCGTATTTTTCTCTACTTGCTGAATATCTGTTTTAGAGCAGACAGCACACACCAAAAAAAAAAAAATCAATAAGTAACTTAACCATCTTTTTAGTTCTGCCATTTTCCTATAAAGTATTTTTTTGCCCCATTTATATTCCATGCTCTTGATCCAGGTGTTCAGATTGGGTAACATAGTGCTAATTTTGCTGAGAGCCAACAAAAGAGTGGAGCCTTGTGATTCGAAAAATTTTCCATCTTCTGCCCCACACCACCACACTCACAATTTGGTGAACAGTCTGCTACTTGTGAGCGATAAGAAGTTGAAAGGTGGTGGTGATTAGACCTAGTGCTGTTTTATGAAGCCACCTAGCTATAGAATTATCGTTTTTACACTTAAAAAAAATATGTCCATGCTTTCTTTTTTCTTTTTTTTTTCCTTTTTTTAAGTCAAGTACTTTCTTAAAGAAACAATAGCACCACGTTGGCATAGTTGGCCAAACAATAAATGGGAAGGCAAAATTGTGCTACACCCTCCAATTTAATCCCCCTAGTGCATGAAGTAGTAACGGAAACCCTGGAGCCACAGTGCATGAGATGGTTCCATCTACACAAACATTGACATTCCCAGGAGGGGAAGGATTCTCAAGGTCGCCAGGCTTTCTCTTCTTTTTCCAGGAAGTTATTATTATTATTATTTTTTAAGTATTCCATTGGACTCTCTGGGGGGGAGAGAGAGAGAGAGAGAGAGAGAGAGAGAGAGAGAGAGAGAGAGAGATTGGGAGAGTTTTTTTAGGTCTAGAAGAGTGGATTCTGATGGAAAGATTCATTAGCTTTTTCAGGGGAGCCTCCTCATCTTAAAATGTTCAAATAGTGCTATTATACTATGTGCGGAAGCTGGAGTAGAAATTTGACTTAGGTATTCTGTATTGTCATTTAAATCAGAAATAAGCCTATATGTTGAAAACTAATTCCTACCAGTATGTACGGCTCTTTCATAAACATCCTGAAATTTTCTCATTTTAAAATTTAAAGCAAAGCTTATGAAGTTTTGAGTTGTGAAATGTTAGGTGCTCCCTCTCTGTCAATCCTGGGACATTCTGCTGGAGTGTATGGGGACCAAGGGACTTTTGCAGTTTACATCAAATTGTCTTCTAGTTTTAATTCATTTGCAAATAAGATGCCGGGTTTGTATAATAATTAGTTACTTTTTAATTCGCTGATTTATGATGTAGTTGGAGAGGACATGTGTTGGAAAAAGTTAAGAAAGATTATGTCTTTTTGTCTATTTAAGCTTTCCTCATTGGGGCATCTGGGCTGTGAATAGAATTGCTAAGTGAATCAAGTAAGTCATAGACACTCTTAGAATTACCCTATCCAGCTAGGTCGGCAGAAGAATACATGTAAAATGTCTCTGGGAGTCAGTGATTTTAAAAGGTGCATTCTAGGAACAAGAAATAAAATTAGAAGTGCCATCTTGGGAAGAGGAGTAGAGCATCTCACTCCGCAGAACCCATATGTGTGGAAACAGATGAAGGACAAAAATGACTTGTAGTTCCTTTCACATCTGTCCATAGTGGTTAGAACACCACTCAGTACACCAGAGATGCTCAACTTAAATAACACTGCGCACTGAGGGTTAAAATACTTGTTGGCTGAGCCAGGGCATCCAGTAAATAGGCCTTCTTTTTGCATACATTCTGAGATCCAGGAAGTCTTTTTCAATTTAATTTAATTTTTTTATTTCTGGCCTCTGAATCTTGAGGTGTACCAGTGGGATGAAAACTAAACATGTAAGGTTTGTTTTCCATATATACTTTCCAAGAATAAGAAGGGTACAATGTGCATGAAATAATAAACCTGGTTGCTTCTCACCAAAAAGTTCTAAGGCCGATAAAAGATCCGAATGGTGGATGATTCATTGTTCTAATAAGAAAATTTTGGTATGGAGACCAGAAACATTTTTTAGGCCTGCCCTCAACCATGGGCCTGCCCTCAACTTTGGATTTTCTTATACCAATTTTTAGTTGAATGGATAAGACACATTCATAGGGGCCATTCTTCTAAGAAGACATGAGGGAAAATTTCTAGCTCTGAAGAAAGTTTTGGCCTTTATAGCAACTCTAGTCAAGGGTATTTTAACAACAGCAACAACAAAATAATAATATATATAGCCAAGGATAAGAGCAAAATTGATTAAAGAAAGTAACTGTGACTTTTTATAAGATATTATTTCAATAGTTGAAATCTTGGGCCATCTTTTGTAGGTTGCCTAAAGATGGAATAACTGTTGTTCAAAATGAATGGAGTATCATAATATTAAAAGAAGTATTATTGGATTTCTAGAAACTGCCTAGAAATCAGTGAGTGCTAACAAATTGAGTAATCACCCTTTTGCTGGTAGAAATATTTTTGTTTTTCTCTTTATTTTCTTTTTATTTCCCTCTTTTGTATTTATGAACCCAGATGCAGAATTTAAAATCAAGTTGTTTATCAAATGTTTCTAACTTATTTTGAAAAGTGTTTTAAAAGAGATCAATCTGATTGCTAACTTTTAACAACTAGCTAGTTGGATACTTAATTAGATGGCTTCATTGACAAAAATTGGCATGTCAGGAGCATTTGGCTAATCAGTTTTCTAGCTATGCTCTGAATGAGCTGTTTATAGAATTCCTTGCATCCCAATGACTCAAGGGCTCTGACCTTCCACCCTCGTAGCAATTTAGGATAATAATCTGGAGCTTTATCTTTTTAATCCTCATACCACCCCTGTGAGGTAGGTAGATGGCATATTGCCCCATTTTGCAGATGAGGAAACTGAGGCACACAGAGGTGAAGTGACTTGCCCAAGGTCACAAAGTGGTGAGTCCGTGGCCGAGTCGGCAGATGTTTGTTTCATCAGTGAGAAGAAACCAGGACTATTAAATTCCTAATCTTCTGCTTTTTCCACTCCTCTCAGGACTTGCTAAACAAATTTGCATCGGTGGACTTTGTGTTTTCAATTTCTCTTGGAAGGCGTAATCAGGGGTACTGGAGTTTTAGGACCCTTCCCCTCTGTGTCTTTGGCTCCAGGCATCCTTTTTTTTTGTTTTGCTTTCACCTTTTACCATTTTGGCCAGACTCTTTCATATCACAAACTACAAAAATAGCACCATTGTACTAAAAAAAGAGAGTTTTACATACTGTTTGATATATCCTGTAATGTTGATATGTGAAATTTACATAGTGCTCTATATGGAAAAAAATCAAAGAGAAGTTACTAATTAGGTCGCACACTAACTCATCATTTGAAGGAACTGTTGAGAGTTTGAGACTTTCTAGACTTAACACATACACCTAAGAACATTTGGCCTCAAAGTTGCAACTATTTGCATTTTCTTTTTAGCAAGATGTGGAAAAATAAAGCTTTGTGTCTACAGCAAATGCATCTGATTTATATTTCGTACCAGTGCCACAGATAGAATCTGGTAGGTTAAATATTGGTGTGCTACTTGACTGCTTGCTGCTGCTATGGAGGAGGCCACATTTGGGCAAATATAATGGGGATGAAGGAGGGTGGGCAGCGATAGACAAACAAGGTAATCAGACACTGTAAAACAAACAGCCTGTGTTGCATAGAAAGAAGTGCAAATAAAAAAATTAATAAACCACTTAGACAAGACTGCTGAATGAATGGCTCCAGCAGCCAAGATTCAGAGACAAATTTAGTGCAACTGGATCTAGACAACACCCATGCATTTGTGGCTCTTGAGAGGCAAGGACTAAGATATATATATATAGATAGATACATACATACATACATCCATATATTTTTTCTCTATAGAACATTAGTAATAAAGGATCAACAGCAATCTACTGACTCCAGGACCTTTTTTGCAAGGTGCAAAGCTTTTAACAATCACTCCTAAAGACAATGTTTGAAATGTTTACTTGTGTATTTCATTGGGGGGAATGCCCATCTTTTGAAATGTTATCAAACTCATATTTTGGTGGGTCTTCTGGTGTTTAACTGGTAATTCATGCAGAGCAAAGGATCCTGCCGATGGGATGTCATTCTTCACTCCCCAGGAAGGTCTTCCTACATTCGGTAGCTCTTATTTCCCGCATTCCCTCTACTTGCGTTCTTCAAATGTACTTCCTAAAAGCAAGGGAGGAAAAAGCGACATTAACTTGGTGACGTTTTATATATCCTACCCATCTACTTCTAATGCTGGGTCTCAACCTTTTATGGCTTAAGACTCACCAGTCAGTCTAAGAGAGAGCTTGGGCCAGATAGTTCCAAGAAAGACGTATTTAAGTAAATAGGCTTTAATTTTTTAGTGTAGCTAAACCTCATTCAAGCTACTTCTATGTGCCCCTTTTGGCATGGGGACCACAGATTGCTTTATAACCACACAAAACTGTGTTTCTATTCCTCTGCTGCTATCATCACACATTCATTGGTTGAAAGGGGATCCTGAAAAGTTCAGTCTCCTGGCCTGTAGTGTCTTTTGTTATTTTTTATTGTTTTATTGCATTTTAGTTCTGTTTTGATTTTTGTGAAAAGGTATTTCTTTTTCATTCTTTCTCTTTGAAGAAAGAGAGATTTAAAATTAGAAGAGTGGGGAAATTTGTAATTGTTTTAGACTCTGTAAAATCACAGACATACTGAGCTTGGCTCAAATCCTAGCTCTTCCATTTTCTAGCCCTGTGAGCTTCTTCAAGTGAAAATTTCTTGTGTCTCAATTTCATCCATAAACTGGGATAACAATAGTTTTTACCTTGTAGGGTTAAAGATTAAAGAATTAGTACATAAAAGCACTTATAATAGGTCTGACGCATGGCAAGCACTATATAAGTATTATTTTATCTTACTCTTATTATCATTATTTCATCTTTACTAGGATGTAGCCATTCCTAGACTAAAATTCCAAGGTTCCTGACTTTGGTGCTACCATTCACTCATCAATAAGCAATGCTTTCCTGCAAGTTTTGCTTAGAGCAGAAGCCTTATGATAGCAGGGACTTGTCTGTTCACTGTTACAGGCCCATGTTTAGAGCAGTACCCAGGATTTTGCAGGTGCTCACTACATAACTGAAGGATGAATTAAATGAATGAGTGAGTATAATGGACTCTCTGATAACGTGCAGAATCAGGTTTTTATACTTTCCTATAGTTATTATTTTATCCTTGGATATATTTAAATAACAAAGTTTACTTAGACAAATAAGATGTGAAATGAAATCTAGGAGGAAGTGGCTTTTGCATGCATAAACATAAGATGCTTCTTCTCTTGGTTTCATCTCTAACCAGGAAGCCCTTATAGGAGAATATAATGGATAATTATTAGCATAGAATAGGGTTTAAAGATCTACAGAGGCCTTTAAAAAAATTTTTTTTAGAACATGTTTTCATCAGGACCAAAAACAAGAGTTCTTTCCATAGTGGCTGGAATCTCCAAATTCTTCCTTCTGGCTAAGGTAGTGACTGCTCGCCCAATCATTGTTAGGAGCTTAGAGATCACTGTAAGGGACATTTGTGTTTACCCAGACCTGATACCTGGAGAGGATGAGACGCTGGAGCAGAATCAACTACCAATCCCTGAGCTAAGGCCCATAGGGATTTAGTAATTGTTCTTTCACATGCTTTTCAGCTCTACCTCACATTGGAGTTAGCACCAACTCTTTCATAAAAGCCAGTTAGCACTTTGTAAGTTGATGGTCAATATCCCGTAGGGACTGAATAGAAGGAGGATGGCATCATTGTGTAAAAAATGTTTGTTAAATTATCTAGCTCAGGGGCCACTGGAAAAAAAAGCTTGTGGAACAAAATTGGGCATTCGTATAGGGCAGTGTGAAATGCCATCTGTTTAAAATCCTGGCACTTTTCTCCCAAATATCATTGACCTTTTATCCAGTCCACTTAACATGTATTTCTTGCTGAATAAAAGCATCTACTGTTGAACTACCAGTAAATTTGTATTTCTGATCTTACATCTCATTTTGCCTTCTTAAAGGAGTTCTTCAGAAAAATGGCAGAAAGACATATGGGGCCACAGTATAGGATCACTGTCATCCTAAACTCCTCATTGCATTTTTGTTCAGTTCTCAGCTGATGAGCTATGTGGCTTTCTAAACTCCAAATAACTATTATTAAGAATACTACTTTTCTATCAAACTACTGACCAAATTAACTGACAGGTCTAAAAATATGCTAATTTGAGTTTTACCTTTTTTTTTCTACCAACTTAGACAAAAATATTTTAAGACTGTGGGAAACACCCAAACTAGGAGAATACTCAAGAATGAAATAATAAGAAATTAAAAGAAGGCCACATGCGATGATTAATCTTTAATCTTCCTCTTGAGCCAAATTAAATCCCAGATTTGCAGAAGGAGAAATTCAGGTATCTTCTATGTGTCACAAATTCATGAGGACTGGAGCAAAAGGAACGGAGGTTAGATGGGCCAACCACATAGATGTTGTCCTTTTCCCCACAGGGAAATTCTTTTCCTTTTGTCTCAAAGCTGAGGTGTAAAGTCTGTACAGAGGGATCCTTCCTATTTCTTCTGGGTCTGCGTCAGCATCACAGCAAAGCCATAGGCAGAAACTCACTTGAGAGAAGCCTACCCTGCTCCAAGGAGCATGGTTCCCATGCACACACATGTTCGATGGAGGCCATTCAAAACCAGCTGGGATGTCGTCTGGTTTGCATTTGGCTCTCTTCCCAGGCTCTCCCATGGGACTTCTTTGTTGTAGACAATGACAGGGACAAAACAAAAGCACTCAGGGACTTGGTCTCAGTTGCATCTGTTGCTTTGTTCATTTTCCTAATTTAATTCCGCTGGCCACCCTTGACAATGGGCAGCAAGTGGAGGCCTGTCTGAGGCAGCCTTCAGAACTGGCACCCACCTTCAGTGCACTTCTTGAAGGGTTATGAAACTGTCCCACATTTAGCCAAGCAAAAACTTTTCACTTCAACAGCTTGTCCAAGACAAACAAACCAGCCGAAGCTGTTTCTAGTATGCAACTAGACAGATTTTTGAAAGGAAAACAGTAGTAAGTAAATACTGTTTCCTATTGACACTGGGGAAGGTAAGCTTATTTTTCAAAAAAATGTTGGTTCTCTAGCTCACGAGGGTTGGTTGAGGAAATTTATTTCTCTCAGGAAAAGGTTGACCTGCTCATCGGGGAAGGGCTTAATTTGCGATATACATTATTACACGTTGTGGACCATACACAGATATTTATGAAGCTGGAAAATGCGTTGAAGGGCTCATTCACATTTTCCCGTTATCTCTCTGCTCCAATCCTAGCTCCTAGCACTTCAAATGAAAGCTATGCATAAACTTTTTGAGTAAGAAGGTCACTGAGAGCTAGTAACAATGGAAATAATAATGATCTTGGTTAACATTTGCAGACACTTTACAGTTTATACAATAATCTCACAATACCTCCTGAGATGATTTCATCTACAACAGTCTCATTTAGAATTTGAGGTTACATAGGAACAAACGGATAGACCCAGGACTAATAATAAAACAGTTTATTCTTTTAACAAAAGAATAACAATTCTATCACTTAACCCATATAACGTTTTAGACACTGTATTACATATGTTAATTGAATATGTTTTCTTATTTATTTCTGCTAGTTCTTTTGGAAGTGGGTACTAGTGTCTTGCCCATTTTACCTTTAAGGAATACAAAGCTTCTACTAAAAGTGATTTCTTGCAGTGAAGATGTGCCTGTTGCTGGAATTTGTACCAGTTTCTTCTGATTCTGGAGTTCACCAGTTAGCTGTTCTGCCATACTGCCTCCCCCAGACGTCAAACAATATCTGGTGCCTCAAGGCCCAAATCTCTCTCAGATAACTGTCTTTGATCAAGTCATGAGCTACCAAGGATCCCAGATGGTGTAGATGCTGGTTTAGGGATGGGTGTCCTTCCAACTACAAGTGTGAACTGAACCCCATTTGTATGGTTATTGATAGAGAACAGTAGCACAGTATTCTGTGAGCAAAAGCTAACCCCATGGGCATTATAAACCCTTCTTTTCTCCATGCCTATCTTTATGAGACTTTTGCTTGAGAGCGAGAATCTAAATGAAGGATAATTAATAGGCTCTTTTAAATTTCAGGGAGGAAGCAGTGATATTTTCAATAGACTATGTTTCCACCTCTACCCTTTCCAAACAAATTGAGCATTGTGTGACGTAAAGTCTAAGAAAAGCCTCACACACTGTAAGAGTGTTGGGAAAATTCTGTCCAGCATGGAATATTTGTCTGTTATATAGTTTAAGGTCCTAACTCAGCATTGATCTTCTTCTAAGAAGGGAAAAAAATAGGAACAACAATAACAAAATGAGGAGTGGATGATTGAAAAAATGAGCCAGACCTCAGCTCTTCACTTGTTAAGAAGGATGTGCTTGAGCTAGTTTGCTGGCTTGACCTGGAGGCACGTGAAATTGTGGAGGACAAGTTAGATCTCTCAGGATCAAGTCTGGTATCTCTTTACTACGGGGAATCACAAGTTCAAATTCAGGAGAGTTAGGTCAGCCTTTCCTCTCTGGGAGCCAAGCAAAATGAGTGTCATGTGACTTACTTAGCACTTTGGAATGTGACTTTTACAACCAGAGGTCAAGGTGCACATTTTGAGAGATTCAGGTTCCTGATGGAGTGGCTGCCTCTTTAACAAAAAGTGAGAAGTATGAAGACTGGATGCAGTGTTGGTCAGCCCAGCCTCTTGTTTTTTCCTGGAAACCACTGCATCATATCTCCTATTGTGGTTATGATGGCAATGGCCATTTTTTTCTAATATGATCCTCTCCTCCAGTCATAGTGGATTGGCCCCCAGGGCAGGTCCCTTCCCCAACCCCCATGACTGAATGTGGTAGCTATATCAAGGCGGACCCATTCCTTTATTGGCCAGCTTTGGCTCAAGGATTTTCCTTAGACTAAATGGCCATCTGGGATGCTTCCACCTAACCTACTCCCTCTCTCTCCTTCACTTGGGATCAGACTTGCATTCCCTTCTTCTGATGGCTTGCTTAGGTTTCCCCGATTCTCTCCTATGTCCTTTCACACGAACATTTCCCCTAATAACACCCTTGCTCATTTAACCCAGTCTCATCTCTTTTTTCTTAGAGGACATAGGCTTA